AGTGCTAGTCTTGCAGTGCTTATTGCAGACTTTGATACGCTGATGCTTGTGTTTAGGAGTAGGCATACTGGGCTTGTGCATGAAGTTAATCACCTCTGTGAATGCTTTCAGATAGGCTACCAGATTCTGATCCTACAAATATTCATGCTTGAACTCAACTTCAAACACAACAGTGTTCAAATTGAATATGTTTTCTGTAGTTTCAAAGCCTCCTGGTGAAGGAGGATATCACCTATACTGTTTTTTGAATTAGGTGCTGTACTTTTTTCACTGGCTCGTACTGTGGTGTGTAGGGTATTTAGAAAAAGCTCATCTTCCTAAGGGGAAATATAAGCAGTTACTTTCTCTTGCTTCGATCCCATTTATTTGTGTGTGGTTGCATATTTAATTTTGGAAGAAATTATAATCTATTAAACATGGAAATCCTGAAAGAGTAATTTCACTGTTTCTGAAACAGTATCTCTGTGTAATGATAATCTAATACATGGCTTATATATTTTTCATAATTTTTATGTCAACCAAATTTTGAACAATGAGATTGAAATTACAAATGTGGCTAGACAATATTATCATATTCAAGAAAATGTGCCTGCTCAGCTGTGTAAAAGGATACATGCTACCTGTATATAACTTCTGAGGCTTTTGAAATAAAGCAGTGAACTGGTAATGACGCCTGTCAATTGATGAAATAAACTATTTCATGTACAGCTAGGATTTTTTTGTGATTTTTATTAATCAAAATGTCTCCAAAGGAGCATGGTACCTTATTTGTTGGTTTTTTTAGTATTCAGGTCTTCCTGAGCTATTGGTATTCTTAAGTCCCAATCTGAGATGTTTTCTTCAGGAATATGCCTTATACCCCTTTCTACCATTGCTTCCTTCTACAGCAATAAACATAGTGTTTATCATTACATTCCCTATATATTCTTACCATAAACCACACTAATCAGAGAAGGAAATACTAGCTTTGATGCTTATTATATTGGTTTCATGGCAAGGTTTTGGTAGCAGGGGGGCTACAGGGGTTGTTTCTGTGAGAAGCTGCTAGAAGCTTCCCTTGTGTCTGACAGAGGCAGTGCCAGCCAGGTCCAAGACGGACCCACCACTGGCCAAGGCTGATCCCATCAGTGATGGTGGTAGCACCTCTGGGATAACATTGTAAAGAAGGGTGGAAAAAAAAACACCTGCTGCAGAACAGCAGTTGGGAGAGAGGAGTGAGAGTATGTGAGAGGAACAGCTCTGCAGACACCAAGGTCAGTGCAGAAGGAGGGGCAGGAGGTGCTCCAGGCACAGGAGCAGAGGTTCCCCTGCAGCCCCTGGAGAAGACCACAGTGAAGCACACTGTCCCCTGCAGCCCATGGAGAGGGTTAACGGTGGAGCAGATATCCACCTGCAGCCCGTGGAGGACCCCACACTGGAGCAGGTGGAGGCACCCGAAGGAGGCTGTGACCCCGTGGGAAGCCCACGCTGGAGCAAGCTCCTGGCAGGACCTGTGGCCCCAAGGAGAGAGGAGCCCACGCCAGAGCAGGTTTGCTGGCAGGGCTTGTGATCCCCGTGGGAGACCCACGCTGGAGCAGTCTGTTCCTGAAGGTCTGCACCCCGTGGAGGAGACTCACGTTGGAGAAGTTCGTGAAGGACTGCAGCCCATGGGAAGGACTCATGTTGGAGAAGTTCATGGAGGACTGTGTCCCATGGGAGGGACCCCATGCTGTGGAGCAGGGGCAGAGTGTGAGGAGTCCTCCCCCTGAGGAGGAAGGAGCAGCAGAGACAACGTGTGATGAACTGACCGTAACCCCCATTCCCTGTACTCCTGTTCTGCTCAGCGGGAGGAGGTAGAGACAATTGGGAGTGAAGTTGAGCCTGGGAAGAAGGGAGGGGTGGGGAGAGATGTTTTAATATTTGTTTTTGATTCTCATTACCCTATTCTGATTTCATTGGTAAAAAGCTAAATTAATTTCCCCAAGCAGAGTCTGTTTTGCCCATGACGGTAATTGGTGAGTGATCTCTCCCTGTCCCTATCTCGACCCACGAGCCTTTCATTATATTTTCTCTCCCCTGTCCAGCTGAGGAGGAGAGTGACAGAGTGGTTTTGAGGGGCACCTGGCCTCCAGCCTGGGTCAAGCCACCACACTTATTCTCACTGTTTTACATGCAATGAGGTGTCATAGGCATAGTCCTCTGGTCTTTATGATCGTCTAAATGTA